AAGCGATTATTCAATTCCACTAGTTGCTTATCAATGATAGTAAGAAATAGATCCACACGATAATAATGGCGGTTTGTGATTTTCTGAGCTTTACGTCGTGATCTCCCTTGTGGTACAAATAAATCATCCATGTTAGGAACGTCAATATCATTGTTGCCACAAAATCTTGATACTTCGCCAAGCAAATCATCAAAGTCATCATCCCTCACGGATTGTAGCTTTTGCTTACATCTTTGGACCAACATCATCGCATTCACAATATCTTGATCTTTCTTTTGTAATGCCTTTGACAAATCATTTGTGACTCCCAATATAAATCTCATCAAATATAGGTGAAACACAAAGTCAAAAGTTTGTATTTCTTTTAACAACCTATTTGCTTCACCTAAATTATCTTGGTCGACATCATCAACAATCCATTCAAGCACCTTCATCATGGGGTTGAAACATAGTATTAATACTAAGTAAAGTATCATAATGTGAGTTCCAATGTGTATCACAAGGACGTTTGAGAGTAGTCTCTTGATTTAACCCTTGCTCCGTTTCAAGATCATCAATTTCAAGAGCTTTCATAATATCTTTTTGTTGTTGCTCTCTAAGTGCATCACAATGCTTACACGATGCTCCAATAATATTAATGACACTACTAGCCGTTGTGAAGAAAGTAGCAATGTTTTCATTTCCCTTTGCCACGGCTACAAGAGTTAGTTGTAGTTGATGTGCAAAACAATGGATATAATATACTTGAGGATATTCTCTCAAAATCTGTGTTTTAAGACCATTGAGCTCACCTCTCATATTACTAGCGCCATCATACCCCTGTCCTCGTAGCCTAGACATGCTCAAATTTGTTGAAGAAATCAACTGCTCAATTGCCTCTTTCAATTTGCTACTAGTCGTATCAGAGACATATTGGACACCCATAAACCTTTCAATTACTTGCCCTTTTTTGTTCACATAACGCAACACCATCGCCATTTGCTCTCTTATTGAAACATCACGTGATTCATCTACCAATATAGAAAAGAATGCATCGTCCAAATCATTAATAATTGCATCAATGGTTTCAGCGGCACAAGAATTGACAAGCTCTTTTTGAATTTTAGGAGCAATAAACTTGAGATTCCTTGGAGCGTTCTCAAACACAACGGCACAAACTTTCTCATCATGATCGGCAAGAAATTGTAAAAGCTCCACATAATTACCCTTATTGCTAGTTGTTTCGCTTTCATCATGGCCACGAAAAGGAAGACCTTGTCTCAATAAATATCTAGTGCAATCAAGTGCGGCAGTTAATAGAATGCGATAATTAATACGAGCTTGGTCTGTCTGCTTGATCACAATGGTTTCAACGTGTTGCTTCTGATTCATTAAATCTGTACAATGTTGTGTAGCTTTATTGTGAAGACTTCCAACTTGTCCAACATGGTCCCTAAAATTCTCGGGCCCCTTCCTCCAATTTTTAAACCCTTTCTCAGTGAAGACATCGCTTCCAGCCTTTCCTTATTTATCAAAGTCGCATTTAAAAAGATAACAATGAAGACAAAATGCAGCATCCTTTTCTTTACTGTACTCCAACCAAACAAATGAATCAAACCATTTGACAAGAAAACATCGATTACTCTCCCCCATAAGTGTTTGAGGCATGTCATTTTGGCTTTTAGGCTGACAAGGACCCCTTTGTAGATAGGCTCTTCGGATTTGTTCTCAAAAATTGGGATTATAATAAGTCATTGGAGGCCTAAGTCCAGGGTCTGCAGGAAGATTAACTAATATTTCATCCAACTCAGTGACCTCCGATTGTTTTGGACTACCCGAATTATTCAAGGGATGATGTGAACTAGGCGGATTATTTGAAGGATTATTTGAAGGATGATTGGAACTAGCCGGATTATTTGAAGGAGGGTTAGAGCTACCCCTATTATTTGAAGGAGGATTTGAACTACTCGGATTATTTGAAGGAGGATTTAAACTCTTTCTCTTAAAGTACCATTCCATAACTGTACAATTAAAACAAAATAAGAGTTTGATGAATTTGGGTGATGTGAAATTGGTCTTTTATAAAGAGAATTCTCAATCCCATTCAAATAAGGAATTCCCAAAACCCAATTGAATAAAGAGAACTCCCAATTAAAACCCAATTATATAAGGAATTATAGTAGCCTAATTAAAACCCAATTATAGAAGGAATTATAGAAGCCTTAGAAAAGCCCACGAAATGGCCCAGAAGCTTCCCTCTTTTTTCCTCTTTTTTTTTTTTAAAAAAAACCCTGGTCCAAAACGACGTCATTTTGGCCAGGTTAAATAATAATAAAAAAAAGCAGCGTCCTTTAAACAGCATGGTCCAAAACTACGTCGTTTTGGCCAGGCTTCGTTAAAAAAAAAAAAAGGTCGCGCGCAGCGCGCAAGAACCAGCAGCGCAGCGCAGAGTTGGTTTGCGCATTTCGTCGAACAGATTGTGTGCATATCTGGTCTGAAGCAGAGGTGCAACACCAGAGGCTGTAATGGATTTTTCCGGCAACCGGAGGTGCAGGTGCACCTCCTTGTGCCTGCACAGGTCCACCACTGAGTGTGTGGGACCCGTTGTATTGGTGGGCTCCACCTCTATTAGAGAGTTGGTGCCTAAGGTGGTGGCCAAAGTTGGTGCCTCTAGCACCACCCAAATATGTAAGAGCATGTGTTCGGTTCATTTTTACACATGATTTTTCATGTTATTCACCCACTATTTTGAGTTAGTTCTTGACATTTTATAGCTTTTTACTTCTTTTTTGTGTTTTGTTAGATTTTACCTTGGTTGGGATGAAAATGAGCTAAAAGTGCATTATTGGTTATAAACTTTATTTTTGTTCATTTTCGTAGGTCAACTTCTTGGCCTGGGATCAATATGCTCTGGTGCTCGGATGAGGTCATGATCTTCATGAGACTTGTTCCAATGGATGTTAACTACAACATATCCAAATTTGAGCTCCATTGGACAAGTATTGCCTATCCAACCAATCCAGCATGTTACCACAGCTCTGGAAATCTGGAATTGGCCAGCTTTTACCTCCATTGTGTCATCTTGATTATTCTTGTTACCATAACACTTGGTAACAAGAATTTACCTTAGTAGATGAGTTCTTTTCTGAAGCATTTGGCATCTTTGTGAGGACAAGGCTTCATCATTCCACCATTGAAGACTTCAAGCTTTCATCATTTTCTGAAAATCTGTAAACTCTTTCTAATTTCATTTTGAGTTTGTATTTGAAATAAGTATGAGCAACTAAACTCTATAGCTAGGGCTTAGGTTGAAGCCCTAAACATGATTACCTTTTTGTTTTGATGCTTGAGTGTATGAATTTCTAGATATTGTTGATGAATTCCAATTCACCAAATTAGTCTATCCTTGATGTGTGTTTTTCCTTGGTTGGCCATCTTTGAAAGCATGCTTCTTGAGATTGTTGGGATTATGTGTATCCTCATGTTATCCTAAGCAATAAATGGATGAAGTAAGAATCATCCATGTGAATTGGTTTCTTGAATACCTAATGTAAACACCATGCTATTAGGGTTCTTGTGATGTTCATATTCTCTTTGAACTTAATGGGTTTTCCTTGCAATCGAATCGAAGTACGAACCATACCTAGGTTCGGTTATGAGGAGGGCACAAGTATTGTAGCACGAACCATGCACTTTACGTATATTAGAGAGAATCAATGCGTCTTGAGCCACGACCCATGGTCTTGATTGCGAACATCTTCATCAACACGTTTAGAGTTCATCACTTGAGTATTCATGAACTTGGGTAGAATTGTTTAGGGTGGATTCCGAAACCCTAGTGTTTGTTACATTTTAATTCCACTCTTTGATAATTCATCTATGCCTTTCTTATTCAATTTTAAAGTCCATTTACTTTCATGCAATAAAAATAGGTCACTTCAAACAAATCAAACCCCCCCCCTAATGTGTGTGTGAGTTGTGTGTTCGACACGTTATGTGTCTTTGTTACTGAATTTTATTTGTTTCTGTAATTGTTTTGGACTTTTGGTCCGCGTTGTGTTCTTGCATTTTCTGTGCTGAATCCAACCGTATAAAGAACTTGAATTTTGGACATACGGTTGGAAAGTTATAGGTCAAAAACTGGACAGAGGTCGAAACTGAAAAACAGAGAAAACGAATCTGCCCAAAAACGACCGGTCGCTTTTACCTGACGACCGGTCGCTCATCACGTCAAAATTTGAAAAACGATTCTGTAAAAAACGACCGGTCGCCACTATTCACTGTTCACGGCACTGTTCACAGGTGATAAAGTGGTGATAAAATGGTGATAGAAAATGTTGTTTGTTTTTTTCTTTAGTTTTCTTGTGTTGTTTCATTTCTTTTACATTTCTTTACTTATTTTTAGTTTCCATTTTGCATTTGTGGTGTGTCAATTAAGTGTTCTTTACGTACTCAAACTAGAACTTATAGGAAACCGACAAGTTCTTCGTGGGATCGACCCCGTACTTACATAATTTATACTTCGTTAGATTCGTGCACTTGCGGGTATTTTTAATTGGTTGTTTGCACATTAATTTGTGTCCTCTTAGGAATGCAACAGCATGTCCACCCCAAAAGGCAAAGGCAAGAGATGGCACTATTCATGTGAATAGTGCCAGCCTTGCCATTTTTTGTTCCACCCCAAAAGGCTAAGGCAAGGGCAAATACTATTCATTGTACTTTATTTCCTATTTTTTTGTCTGAATTTTTTTATACTTTAAACTATTAATTTTGATAAGCTTTTCAGATAATATTTTCAGTTGCCACATGTCACTATTTATTATAAAATTCTCACCTAAAATTTGAGACAACATTTTCGGATAAAATTTTTGGTTGCCACATGTCCATTTTTATTATAAAATTCACATCTCACTTATCATACAATTGAAATATCTACTCACTCATCATACAATTAAAATACTCCTGGTCCTCATAGTCTAACATAATCGAGTACAAGGACGGCTCAATCATTGGCGGAGGTAGTTCCACCGGATCACGACGTGGGGCAGTATTTTCCTTCGGAGGATGTAATAGTGCCATTATTTCCGACACGGAACACACCACTGGAACCGATTGCGGGCATTGCTCACTTGAGGAGACATGTGAAATGGTTTTCCTCTTTTTTGTTTTGCCTTGAATAATCTATTAAAAAAATGAAATTGGAAATGTAAGAAATATATATATATATATATGTGACATTAAATTGAATAAAACGGCAATTATTATTTTTTACCTCATCGCCAAGATTTTGACCTCTTCAAACATTTGTCCACGACCCTCCGGCTTCGATGGAAGAGGCCATTTATATTTTTGCACAAATGGAATTTTTTAAGAGAAAAATGTGAGTGGAAAGAAAAAAATATTGGAAGGAGAAGAGTTGGTATGAAGATTTGGTGTGGGAAAGTGAATAACATCGATAGGTATTTATAGGGAAAAAAATCTAGTATTTTTTGGTTTTTTTTTTTGAAAAAAATTGAATTTTTTTTAATTTTTTTTGACCAAAAAAACGAGGGCCATCGGATTTCTAGGAAAGAAGCCATCGCAGTGCCCAGGAAGCGCCACGTGGCATTTTTCCGTTGGGCCTTGTCAGGCGCTGACGTCAGCGAGTGTAAATCAAATTTTTTTTTACCGTTGGCGCATGAAATTCACGCGCCAACGGTAAAAAATAATTGAATTTACGGTTGCTGACATCATCGTGACGTCAGCGCCTTCGGCCTGCAGCCTAGGCAGGATCTGCCCATGGGCTTGCTCTGTTCGGTGGGTCCCAGCACTTGCCCGGGCTGGATTTCCTGCGCTGGAGGCTTGCTGGGCTCGCTTGGGGGGCCCTTTTGCCCAGTTTTAAAGCAGGGGTGGACATGCTCTAATAGAAGATTTCAAGGATATTATTTCTTATAATCACCAAATGAAAGTAATATTTGGAAATAGGAAAATATTTTCAAGGAAAGTATTTAGAGGCAATGTTTAAGCCAATTTTTTTGACCGTTGGCGCGTGAAATTCACACGCCAACGGTAAAAAAAATTTGAATTTACGGTCGCTGACGTCATGATGACGTCAGTGCCTTCGGGCTGCAGCCCAAGCAGGATCTGCTCGTGGGCTTGCTTAGTTCGGTGGGTCCCAGCACTTGCCCGGGCTGGATTTCCTGCGCAGGAGGCCTACTGGGCTCGCTTGGGGAGCCTTTTGCCCAGTTTTGAAACAGGGGTGAACATGCTCTAATAGAAGATTTCAAGGATATTATTTCTTATAATCACCAAATGAAAGTAATATTTGGAAATAGGAAAATATTTTCAAGGAAAGTATTTAAAGGCAATGTTTAAGCCATAAACTGTTGTGGGAGTGATTTTCCTCCCTAGAG